AAAGTCTCCAAGAAATGTGGGACTATGTGAAAAGACCAAATTTACGTTTGATAGGTGTATCTGAATGCGACGGAGAGAATGAATCCAAGCTGGAAAATACCTTTCAGGATATTATTCAGGAAAATTTTCCTAAACTAGCAAAGCAGGTCAACATTCAACCCCAGGTAATACAGAGAACACCACAAAGATATTCCTCAAGAAGACCAACCCCAAGGCACATAGTCGTTAGATTCACCAGGCTTGAAATGAAGGAGAGGATACTAAGGGCAGCCAGAGAGAAAGGTCGGATAACCCACAAAGGCAAGCCTATCAGACTTACAGCAGATCTCTCGGCAGAAACTCTACAGGCCAGAAGAGAGTGGGGGCCAATATTCAACATCCTCAAAGAACAGAACCTTCAGCCCAGAATTTCATATCCAGCCAAACTAAGCTTCACAACTGAAGGAAAAATAAAATCTTTTATGAACAAGCAAGAACTCAGAGATTTTATTACCACCAGGCCTGCTTTACAAGAGCTTCTGAAAGAAGCATTACACACAGAAAGAAACAACCAGTATTAGCCTTTCTAAAAATACACCAAAAAGTAAAGAGCACCAACATAAAGAAGAATTTACACAAACAAATGGATAAAACAGCCAGTCAACATCAAATGGCAGTAACCCTAAATTTAAATTGACTAAATTCCCAATCACAGCCAAAACCCAACGGCATGTTACATCCAGACCTGTTTCACATGCAAGGATACACAAAGACTCAAAACAGAGGGATGGAGAGGGATTTGCCAACCAAATGGAGAGCAAAAATAAATAATAAATAAATAAAAAGCAGGAGTTGCAATTCTTGTATCGGATAAGGTAGATTTTAAAGCAACAAAGATGTAGTGGTAAAAGGATCAATGCAACAACAAGAGCTAACGATCCTAACACCCAGATAGGAGACTTAGATTCAATGAGAACGAAAATTAATAAGGATATCAAGGACTCGAACTCAGATCCAGAACAAGTAAACTTGATAAATATTTATAGAGCTCTCCACTTCAAATACATAAAATATACATTCTTGTCAATACCACATCACACCTACCCGTTAGTTTAAATAAAACATTGGTTGGCCATTATTAATACCCAATTTTTTTCAAAGTAAAGCAATATTTCCATTTACTCTCCCTCTTTCTCTTCCTCTTTCTTCCTCTCCTTTACTTATTTTTTTTTTCTTTCCTTCTCTCAAAAAAAAAAGAAATCAACTTGTAAACCTCTAGATCCAGGTCGGCAATGTCTCTTTCATTGCTTGATTTCCTTTCTTCCCTTCCTTCCCTCCCTCCCTCCCTCCCTTCCTCCCTCCCCGCTTCCTCCCTTCCTTCCTTCCTTCATCCCTTCCTTCCTCCCTACCGTCCTTCTTCCCTTCCTTCCTGCCTTCCTCCCCCCCCCAAAAAAAATAAAATTCTACTTCTTTTCATAAGTGTTTTTGTCTGTCTAGAATCCCCTTCTCTACTCCTTCACGCCCCCGCCACCTCAGTGATCATATTCATCTTTAAAAACTTAGCACAATGACTGATAACAGTTGCATTTATTGGCCATTTATTCTGCTTCAGGCACTATACTAAGTACTTTACTTTTTTTCACAAGACAGAGTCTTGCACTGTCGCCTGAGCTGAAGTGCAGTGGCGTGATCTCGGCTCATTGCAACCGCCGCCTCCCAGGTTCAAGTGATTTTTCTGCCTCAGCCTCCTGAGTAGCTGGGATTACAGGCGACCACCACCATGCCAGGCTAATTTTTTGTATTTTTAGTAGAAACAGGATTTCACCATGTTTGTCAGGCTGGTCTCGAAATCCTGACCTCGAGTGATCTGCCTGCCTTGGCCTCCCAAAGTGCTGGAATTACAGGCATGAGTCACCATGCCTGGCCTCAGTCAGTTTTTAAAAATCACACAATGTGGTTAGTGATGGTTTATACTGTCAACTTGATCGGATTGAAGGATGCAAAGTATTGCTCCTGGATGTGTCTGTGAGGGTGTTGCCAAAGGAGATTAACATTTGAGTCAGTGGACTGGGAAAGACTGACCCACCCTCAGTCTGGCTGGGTACAATCTAATCAACTACCAGCATGACCAGAATAAAAGCAGGTGGACGAACGTGGAAAGACTAGACTGTTTTAGTCTACAGGTCTACATCTTTCTCCTGTCCTGGATGCTTCCTGCCCCTGAACATCAGACTCCAAGTTCTTTAGCTTTGGAACTGGGACTGGCTTCCTTGCTCCTCAGCTTGCAGATGGTCTGCTGTGGGACCTCACCTTGTGATCCTGTGAGTCAATACTCCTTAATAAACTTCCATTCATATATGCATCTATCTTATTAGTCCTGTCCCTCTAGAGAATGCTGACTAATATAGGGTTCTATTCATTTTTTTTTTTAGAGAGAAGGTAATTAAGATTTAGAAGGCTTGGGTAATTGTCAGATTTACAAAGGATATCCAGGCCAAGTAATTCCATACCCCATATCTAATCTCTATAGCTTAGTGCTTGAAAAATTGAGTGAATGAATGAGCAAGTAGTACTAAGAAGATTGAGAGCTTTGTTTTGGGAAAAAACATAGCATGAAATGTATGTTGCTTATCTTTAGAATAGGGGCTGCTGCCGGGCGCGGTGGCTCACACCTGTAATCCCAGCACTTTGGGAGGCCGAGGCGGGTGGATCACAAGGTCAAGAGATCGAGACCATCCTGGTCAACATGGTGAAACCCCGTCTCTACTAAAAATACAAAAAAATTAGCTGGGCATGATGGCACGTGCCTGTAGTACCAGCTACTCAGGAGGCTGAGGCAGGAGAATTGTCTGAACCCAGGAGGCGGAGATTGAGGTGAGCCGAGATCGCGCCATTGCACTCCAGCCTGGGTAACAAGAGCGAAACTTTGTCTCAAAAAAAAAAAAAAAAAAAAAAAAAAAAAAGAATAGGAGCTGCTAGGCCGATTTTTGCACTGAGAATTATAAATTTATCATCAGTGAACCTCTTCTCAGAGGCTTCTGTAACTTCCACCATAACTTATCCAGGTGGGATTAATAAGGGCTCTCACTATGTTCTCATAAATTCATGCCTACATCTCTGTTGGTGTGTATATAGTGTTGGTGAATTAAATGGTTAATATTGGTCCAAATGTCTGTCTTTCCCTCACCAAGCAATGAGCTCCTAGAGAATAAAAAATTCATTTTTTTGCTCTATGTCATTGCTGCCCTATCCAACCTGATGTTTGGTACAGAATAAGCCTAGGGTGTATGTTTCTGAAATAAATAAATTAATAAATAGCTCTAAGAAGACTTAACACCCCTGCTTTAGTTTAGGAGTAGATGCATTATAGCTACTGTGATGCATAGATATTTCTGCTTATATTTCCACTCAATGAGCTTCTACCCCAGAGTGAATGTGGGTTGGAAGCTGTCATTATGGTACTTTTATGTCTCCAAGTTACCATGTGACTCTCCTACAGGGAACATATTGACATGTTGATCTAGAGTTCAAAAGAAATAGTTTACATTTTTTATACAACATGGCTTCTAAACACATAATAATTTTCTGCCATGCTCAACAGAAACCTCTAGTGATATATTCTAACACTAGAGGAAAAACTGGGTTTGCTGGGCTTTTAGAATTATTGAAGAATTATACAAAACTTTTTGGGCTATTTAAGTGGTTTTTAAAAGTATTTTTTATGATACACAGTTTTGACCAAAAAAAAAAAAACAAAAACACTGGAAACTAAATTTTGAATAAAATATGACTCTACTACTAAGTGGTGGGAGTGGGGTGGGCAAAGTATGATGTCGTTACTTAATAAGCGGCCGTTGAAGTTCCAACTTGACTTTCACTTTTTTCCTGCTTTATAATTGGTGAAAATATCAGACAATCAATAGCGTTTCATGAATGTATCTTCCCTTGCTTGTGTGATTAGTATGTTCTCTCTGCTGCATAGACTAGTGCTAGATGCTTAGGCTAAGCTAACATTACTGAGCCAAATCAGGCAGGGCTGGCAACGCTGTGGGTGTGTGTATAAGACAGATAAGATAGCAAAGCCAATGCTATAAGGAAACTCAATAAATATTTATAGAGCGCTCCACTTTAAATACACAAAATATGCATTCTTAACCTTAAATACACAAAATATTGATTGACCATTATTAATATCCATTTTTAGAATAAAGTTACATTCCTGTTCTCTCTTCCTCTTTTTCTTCCTCTTTCTTCCTCTCCTTCACTCCTTTTTTTTCTTTCTTTAAAAAAAATACTATAAGGAACCGCAAAACTAGGGGGTGATGACTGGGGACAGTGATCAGGGCTTAAGTCAATACCAAGATAGAAAAAGGAGATTCTAGATTTCACAAGTAAAAGTCAGAATCTGGGGTGGGGTTGGAGTGGGATAGGAGAGGACCCAGGGTCAAAGCTGATAGCAGCATGTCAACATATAAACCACATGAGCTTTGGTGAAGACTCAGTCAGTTCAGAATGGTTTCCTTGGAAAATATTTATATAACTTCAATATAGATGACTCACCTTGAGACCTGTCCCCAGGAGATAAGATATAAAACAGTCCAATAAGAACAACTCTCTGTCATCTCACATTCCACCTAGAACCTCTACAAATTTCACTCCAGAAGACCGGAAAACTGTGAATCTTTACAATCTTTTCTGAAAGAGCTAGCCCAGGAATTTACACTGTTGTATATCATTGAGCAAAATAGGTTAAAATTTTTTTTCAATCTTACAACTATCAAAAAACATGAAAAAGTTTTCTTCTTTCTGTTTCCAGTCCAATCTCTGATTCTCACTCCATCTCTGACCCTCTCCCTGTGTTTCCCTCTCCCTTATCATCCTTTCCCCAGTCAAGACAATGCTCCTACTTTCCTATTCTACAGGATTCTGGTGGAATAATGTTCTCTCTCTCCTGGCAGATATCTGCATTAGCACTCTTTTTTTTGTAGACTCAGTGAAGTCCTATTTTCATCTCTTTTAAGGTATATTTCTTCAAAGTTATCCAGACACTGGCAACTTTTACGGAGGAAAGAATTTCCAAAGGGAAGCCTTGTAACCTGAAATAACCTTTCACAAGTGACGGTTGCTTCATCAAAGATCAGCTGTTGACCAACTTGGACAAGGCTAGGCTTTGCAAAGTCCCCACCACCAGTGAAGTCATCCAGAGTCAGAAGGTCTAAAGATACTGCGTAAGGGTGCTGCTTAAGCATTTGTGGTTGCCGTTGCGTTCTGCCCAGTCCCAGCTGTTAGGCAGTAATGAAGTGGCTAAAGTATGGTTAAAGGCAGTGGTGGTTTCAGGACACTTTGATCATCTGTGGAAATGTCTTCAATTTGTTCTTTGGAGCCAAAGATTATTTTTAACATAAGAATGAACTAATTAAGTGGTTAAATTCAGAATAAATGACACAGATTCATATAGGTTTTCAGAGAATACTCTGGGAAATATTCTGTCACTTTGCTGAAATTGGGATATTCAAATGGTATTAATGATATTTCAAGTGGGAAATACATGCATTTAGAAAAATAATTTGACAATATCTACCAAGGGTCTTAAAAATGATCATTAATTTTATTTCTGGGCATCTATCCAATGCAAGAAGCCTAAATATTGGACAAAGGATTTATGCATCAAGATCCATTTCAAAGTTTTTTTTTATCAGAGATTAATGGGAAATACTCAAAAACACTAACTATTGTAATGAGAAAAAATACACAAATCATGATAAATCATGCTCCATAGAATATTGGCAGCTAGTAACCTCATACTAGTTATTCCCATGTTATAACAGTCAATAAAAAAGTAAGACCAAATTATATATATAATACGATGACAACTTTATAAAAAATACACAAAGGTATATAAAACTATAAATATTAAAAAGAGAAAAAGAAAACCCAGCCTGTCAGTTGTAGTGTACTTTGGATGCTAAAAACTATGCATTTCTCCTCATATTTTTTCTACTTTTTAACTCAACAGATTTTTCTATAAAGACCATGTACTTTAAAAATAACAATAATAATAGTAAAGATCAGTGACAATATTTAAATACAATCCTAAGTGGAATGGTTGTCTTGACTACCGAAGCTTATTGCCATAAACTATTTTTTTTGTTTTGTTTTGGTTTTACTCCCGTTGTAATGACACCTCAAAATGCAATTTCCAGCATCGTCAGCTGTGAGGTTGTTGTAATCTCAAGGAATGCATGCTGGTCTTAACAACCATGACAACAGACTTTGAAAAAAGTTAAATGGAATGTGTCTGATTAGGGATCTACCACAACTCGGTTCAATTTGAATCTTACTCTCCTGGTCAAGGATGGAGTTCTGTTGCTAATTCCTGTGGAGGTTCATTGCGGTGTCATTGAAAGAGAATTACCACTCACTCCCTGTATGGCTTTTGGTGCCACTTATTGTCTTAAACCTCAGTTTTCCTGTTTTTAAAACAAGAATAGTAATACCTATATCAGAGGGCTGTTGACTAGAGAAAATAAGGCAATTAATATACAGAAAAGCACTATGCAATCATTAATGAAGTACTTAAATATGTGGGGAAATGCATCAGGTTTGATGTTAGGCAAACTTTTCTTTGATTCCTGGTTCAACCATTTACTGTCTCTTAGGCTTTCAGAAGATGACCCAACACTCCTGATCCTTAGTTGTTTCATTTATAAAATGGAGATAATGATACTCAACTTGCAAAGTTATTATGAGGTTTGAAAAGGATATTTACGTAAAAATGCTTCATATGAAGCCTTTAGAATTAGTAACCACTGCTAAGTATTTATCAAAAGCTGCTTAACCTATCTTCTCTGAATATGCTTCAACCCTTGCCGTTTACTATACAGTCATGAATTATTATACAGATGAGAGTAGATTCTCAGAAATGCACCATTAGGTAATTCCATCGTTGTTGGCACATTGTAAGAGTGTATTTAGACAAACCTAGATGGTATAGCCTAGTATACACCTAAGCTATATGGTATAACCTATTGATCCTAGGCTACAAACCTATAAAGCTTATTACTGTGCTGAATACTGCAGGCAATTGTAACCTAAAAGTAAGTATTTGTGTAGCTAAAAGGTACAGTAAAAATAAGGTAGAAAAGATAAAAAATGTTATACCTGTGTAAGGCACTTACCATAATGAAGGTTGCTGAACTGGAAGTTGCTGTGGGTAAGTCACTGAGTGAGTGGAGAGTGAATGTGAAGGCCTGGGACATTACTGTACACTACTGTAGACTTTATTAACGCTGGACACTTGGATTACACTAAGTTCATTTTTAACAATTGTCTTTCTTCAAAAATAAATTAACCTAAGTTTACTGTAGCTTTTTTACATTATAGTAAAAAAGCTTAATTTTTGTCCATCCTTTTGACTCTTTTGTAATAACATGTAGGTTAAATCACAAACACATTGTATAGCTGTCAAAAATATTTTCTTTCTTTATATCCTTATTCTGTAAGCATCCTTTTGCTTTTAAAATTTCTAGTTATCTTTACTTTTTAGATATTTTGGTTAACAATGAAGACACAAACACACAATAGCCTATGCCTACACAGGGTCAGGATCATCAGGACGTCACTAGGTGATAGGAATTTTTCAGCTTTACTATAATCTTATGGGGCCACCTTTGTATACGCACTCTATCATTGATGGAAATGTCATTCTGCGGCATGTGATTGTATTTGAGTCATCAGGAACTCCTGATGACAGATTAAGGGCGCTGATAATAACGTTTCTGGATTTCCGTTTAATGGATTCTGAAGAGCATGCTCTGTCAACATTATCCTTCCTTTTGGAGAACTTGCACTTTGCATTGGTAAATTTGTGAGTAGAGTTTTAATGTTAATTTCTGCAACTTGGTTTAGTTTGCTATATCTAAAGTTAACTATAGGAATTCTGGAATGAGAGCTGTTCTAGATTTAACAAGTCAGTTGTTTAAGGATTTTTGTTTATGGTTTGTGGAAAGTGCTTCTCATGGAAGCTACATCCTTGATTCTAAGAGAGTTAGTTGTGCAGCCTATTGGTGGTGCAGAGATTTGTCCAGAGTCATTAAAAATGACCATAACTTCACTTAAGTGAGTTGGTTCATCATGGTCTTTTCCAACAGGATAATCTTAAAATATGCATATTAATAAATCCCAAAATTTGTAGTTTTGGAGAAGAAAGGGTAGCTCTGTGATGCAAACAGATTTGCTTTCTCCGGGATATTGATTTTATTTGTAAAAAAAAAAAGTTTGTAAACAATAACTAATGGTTTGAGAATAAGTGTTGCACTAATAATTTGTTCATTTAATTTCATACCTTCACCAAAGATAAAGCAGAATCTCTGAGAATTCTTACCACAGCCTATGGTAATTAGTCATTATTTTCTAACCAGAAGTTCTCTGGTTGGTTGAAGATTGAATGAAAGCATCCTAGCACATGAGTTCTGTGAAGAAAGATGCTTGATAAAGAGTCTTCAATATGGTTCAGAGTAACCATTTGAGCACAGGATGTACTCAGTTTGAAGATGATGTCAGGATTAATTTGGTTACCCAGAGAATAGGAAAATGGATTTGCAATGCATCATGGTCAGTTTTCTCCATTTTAGTAAGAACTCATCTTATTATTCAAAGTGGCAGGATTTGAAGCCACAGTTAGAAGCTCTGATCATGATTCCAACACTGAAATATATTACATTTGAGAACTACGTAACTACATAATTGCATCCTTGTCTGTAGCACATGCATAAAGAAATCCCAAAGCAGCAATAATAGTAGAAAATGTTAAGCACTTTCCTCTAGGGCTTCTCTTTATCTAGCACACACCAGAACAGTCAATGAATCCTAGATGGCCTGTTGGCTTCAGAACAAAGATTTTCATCCAACCAGAAGCAAATGTTCTATTTTGAAATTTGGACAGAAAGTTAATAGTGTGAAAGTGTAAATGAGGGAAGAATGACATCAACCTCCTTAATGAGCATTGCAGGGCTTCTCAAATGCTTTCCAGGTAGCAGAGAACATGGTGAGAGTCATACAGCTCATTTCAGAACACTACAAAATAGTGATGTATTTCTTTCTGTTATATGCATTGGGAAGAACTTTACAATAAGAAATACTGCTGAAAAATAATAATAGCATATTTATTGATAAATCAGTGACTGATACTAAATTCTCAAAGTGTTAGCTATTATTATCATTGTTTTTATTATTATACATTTTTATCATTGTTCCTAGTGATAGAGTTGTTTCTAATGCTCTTAATTCTCACTTAACCTTGTGATATGGTGGTTTTAAATATCCCAATTTACGAGGAGGACATTAAGGCACTGAAAGATTAGATGATTGCCTAATGAAGGGCACACAGCTTATAAAGGGCAGGCAGAGATGTGAGTTCAGGAAGAACAGCTCCCAATCCTGGGCTCCCTCCTCCATTAATACTTGTTCATGAAAAACAAGCAAAGGAAAACTAAGAGTATATACTGTTTTGCCTTTTCCCCATAGTGTTTATTTGCAACTTGTTTTGTTATCAACAAAGAAAACTTGTGTGAAAGGATTGAAAAATTTAGAGAAGAAAAACTTGAAATTGAGCAAATATTATTCATGAGTATCTTTTCCCAACAATTAGAAAAAGACCAGGTTGTAGAGGCAGAACCCAACGGTCCAACACATAACAAACTATTGGCTTGTGATATCACCATTGGAGAGCTACTGGGAGATGAAAGAGTCTTGGGCTTGAGTTAAAAACACTTGGGTTTAATACATATTTTGTGTATTTTATTGTTACATGACTCCAGGCACAGTAGATTAGAAAGAGATTGGAGGATAGGATGAAGCACATACCAAGATATCTCTTCCCAACTGGTTTTGGCTTATTTTCTATCACTTATACCCTATCTACTCTCTGGATTAAAACTTATCTTTTGCAGCTACCAATCCCTGCACATAAATTTAGTCCTATCTGAAGTCCCAGTCTCTTCATGAGGCCTCACTTCAGCACATCAGTCTTTACTAACTCTTGTTGCCTTCATAAATCCTATTATGTAGGCAAGGGAGTTTTTCAACTCCCTTGGGAGGTTTTCAAGATGTTTGATGTATGTAATCATGTGTTTGAAGGTAAACATCTTGAGGTCAGGAGCCAAGTCTTTGGCATCTCTTACTTTGCCTGGCAGAAGTCTCAGGATATGTCTGATGATAGATGAGCAAGAGAATCAAATAGGTATTGCCTTAATGTTGGTTCCGCATTCATATCTGAAAGGGCTATTTTAAAGTTTATATAACAGAAAAAGTACTAACCACAATTGACTTTTAAAAAGGGTAGGTTTTATTAAATGGAAGGTTAATAGGTACGCCAAGTTTGACTACTCAAGTCAGAAAGTAGGGACTTAATTCCTACCAACGAGGGTAGGAACCATTCTTTCTGAGTGGTTGAGGAAGAAGAATTCAGAGTTGTAGAGAAAATCTGGGAGGTTGGTGGGAGGAGCAAGGGGAAAA